CAAAAAAAGTCGGATTAATCCACAAATAAACTACATTTAAAGTTGTTGTTCTACAAGTACATAAACACAAAGGGAACAAGCAATGAGAAGGGAGAGGAAAAGGTTGTTACATCTTTTCCACTGTCCTGATTCCGAGCAGATCGAAGCACGTCTTCATTATCTTGGCGGTTGCCAGACAGAGCAAGATCCTCGACTCATGAATTTTCACTATTTTATCTGCATACACAAAAAAAGACTCAAAGTTAGCAGAAACCACGAAACGGAAAGGAGACTGTTCACCCAACTCACCGCCTTCTCGTTCAATGCAGTAGCAAGCATCGTAGAACTCCGTAAACACACAGCTAACTTCATAGAGGTAGTCGCAAAGTTTGTGGAAAAATAGATCTTCCTCCAACTTGTACAAAACCTCCGGCAGCCGGCAAAGAATTTTACCCAATTTAAACTCTGCCGGATGCTCCAAGCTGACGTCGAATGTTTTGCACACTTCAGCAAGCTTTTCCTCACTCCAGTTTGTCTTTCTAATGATGGATCTGCATGGGAAAGACCACGAGTCAGGAGAGGAGATAGGAGAGAAGGGGAGGAGAGGGGAATGTGAGGCAGAATACAAACTTACTGAATTCGTGTGTAGGCGTACAGGAGGTACGCGGCTGTATTGCCCTTGTCATCCAACATCTGAAAGGATTGAGCAAAAAAAAAAATCATCATATTTTGAAAAGACAATTAATCAACGCTTCATCTTTTGCGCTACGCGATAGCATCAAAAAGCATACCTTATCGAAAGAAAAGACGTAGTCGTTGATTCGATTGTGTGAAAGATCGGCATATTTAATGCAACCATAGGCAATAGACTCAGCTGCTGTCTGCTGTTCCTCCGGAGTCAACTCTTTGTCTCGACCCTTTTCAACCAACTTCGCTTTTGCTCGATCTACTCCCTCATTCAAGAGGTCGATCAACTTCACAACATCACCTGTGCGAGTCTTGAATTTCTTCTTGTCCTCTCCAAGCACAACCCCGAAAGGAATGTGCTCCAGCTTAGTGCGTGCAGGATCCACGAAACCACAGACTTCAGCTGCCGAGTAAATGTTCTGCAAATGCAAACTTTGGCCCGAGTCGACAACGTAAATAATCCGTTCCCCACCTTCTTCAATAACTCGCTGACGAACTGCTGTCAAGTCAGAGGTGTCGTAAGTGAAACCGCCATCAGATTTAACGATGGTCAAGGGGACGTTTGATGTCGGGACCCACAAGATCAATCGACCGTTGTCTAAGTTTAGTAGGCCACTATTATCAAGATCCTTCACAAGGGTGATCATGCGTGACTGGTAAAAGGATTCACCACGTGGAATGAGGTCCTCAATGTCCAGACGGCGGTAGATGTCATAAAATTCTGAAATGAAAGGGGAAAAGGAGCTAGTGAGCCTCCGATCGGAAATAGGACCAGTCAAATCTTTAACGCGGAAGTCCCCATTAGTCACTAAAAAAGCATGCTGTATAGGTGAGAGCAGTGCAAAATATGACGAGAGCCTTCAGTTTACTCTGAAAAAACACAGCCACTGTAATAGCAGCATCTTGTAAGGCTTACGTTCAAAATGGCATGCTTATCAGTTCAGTGGAAGTGAACAAATTGGATAAATTGCTGGTGGCCTACCACAAAAAGATAACTAAAAGGCGTCAAATGTCGACAACTATGTAGACCAGTGATGGCCTGTAATGTACATGCGAAAATAGACGAAAACTTTGATACAGATAATAGGAACTTCTTTAGGGCATTGACGAATAAAAAACTAAATATGTCCTTGAACCTAAAATTGACGACCAATTCGATTAAAGCCACGTAATCAACATACGTGGTTAGAATTGCCGACAAATGTGTTAATAGCCGTGGAAACAAATCGTGCGAACTTACCCTGCTTGGAGACATCGCAAATTTTTTCCCAATTCTTAATGTGTTCGGGATCGAAAGCTTGCAGCTTGACAACAGCATCGTAGGACCGCTTCTTAAAGTCCTCATCATCGTCAAAACGTATCTTTGCCTCCTGATAGAACTTCTGCAGGTCTGTGACAGGCAAGGGCCTGTCACCAAGATCCTTAAAGGTATCCTTCAGATGCGCAATCAACATGCCAAACTGCGTGCCCCAGTCACCAAGATGATTGAGTTTCAATACGTTGTGACCCATGAATTTGAGGAGCCGTGATATACTTTCGCCAATAATGGTTGATCTTCAAAGATGACAAAACTTATAAGCACAAGTAAAATAAATAAGACTAAACAGTTTATCAAGACCAACCTTAGATGTCCAACGTGCATCTCTTTAGCAATATTTGGACTAGACATGTCCACAATACACTTAAGACTACGCTGTGGCGGTGGCAAAGAAAAACCGAGGCGGACAAGCTTTGTTACCTCTGCCTCAACAAAGCAGCGAGAGATGAAAATGTTGATGAAACCAGGTCCTGCAATTTCAACTTTTTCGATCATTGACCCCTTTACTAGATGTTCACAAATCTTAGTAGCAATAGAGAAGGGAGATAGTTTAGTTCCGTCAGTTGAGAATTGTTTGGCCAAACTTAGGCCATTGTTGCATTGATAATCACCAAAATTTGGATGCGAGCTCTGCGTTACAACAGTTGACACCGAAGTCAATTGCGGGAAGGCCTTCTTGGTTGCCAAGTCAAAAGTCGCAATTAAAGCATTGAGAATTGACACTTGGTGCGACATGAGTAACTTTTGTATATTATCGATAGCCTAAAATGTTAAAAAGGGCTGTAATTAATTCATGCCTTCTCTAGCTGCTCCTTCTGATACGTAAGCTTCGAGTGTTCCTCGACCAACTGGTTAAGTTGTTTGAACCTCGGCTTATTTATAACCTCCTCAAACCGCGAGGCGAGATCATCCACTTGCTTGAGCATGACGAAATCAGCAACAGCATACAAGTCATCAATGGCCTACAAAAACAATTTATAGTAACAATGTGTGCAAATTAATGAAACAACATGAATGCTCTTCTATTTTTAACTTTTCAGAATAAGTGATTAAATTATTAAATTGAAAATAAGCCATAATTTGCAATAAATTTTGTTTAACATAATTTAAACAAGAAGCCTTAAATAAATAAAGTATTTTACAAAAAATAACAGGGTAAGAGAGTAGTCTTTGATGCATTAAAATTCGTTGCATCATACTTGTAACGGCGTGGTATTTCGTTTAACTTCACGTGCACATCTGGCCGCGGTTGATGTAGTCGGTCTTTGGACGCAATGTATAACCTGTTCAAATCTTCTTTGGTAAAATTTGTACGTTTGAAATTAGTACGTTATCTATTTGAGACCTCTTAATCAGCGGAAGAAAGCATTAAATAAGGTTAAATTCGTGCATTCTAGGAGAAGACACAGGGTTTGCAGTTAGCCTAACAGTGATATCACGCGCACGCGAGCAAGGCAGGCACCAAATCAGCTGCAAGATACCGTGTGGTCGTATGACCGGAGCATTACATTCCTCCTTCCTTATTTTGGGTACAGGCTCAGCGCTCTCTCTGGTACCCCTCTCACGTCAGTCATCACATATTATCTGGTGCTACAAGGAAACACCCACGAGCCATTCAGCATTTGACATCTTAAGCAATTTCAATCGGATTTGGAGTTACTTTCGATCTGAGGGCCGGGAAAGTAGAGAGGAATTTTTCCTGACCATCAGTCGTGTCTAGGACCAGGTGTAGGAATGCTGATCGGAAAGAGATGCTTAACATGGTAAACGAGATCAACACAGTACCGGGTATTCGGCGCAACGTCAACCTTGACATTTATACGTGAATGTAGTAAGGAGAATTTCGATCCGAAGCTTTTTTAAATGCTTAGCGACGGTGTCGCTTCACTTGTTAATACCTTGCCTGGGTTACATCAGTTTTACCCATTCTGTGGTGGAGAATTCAGAGAATCTCTCGCTCAAACTATATGTGCTGGACATTAGGATAGGAGCTGCAAGAAAAGTTAGGTTTGATTTCCGTTATTCCCAGTGTAGCACCACAAGACTTCCTCCTAGGTAGCAGGAGGCATTAAGTTGAGTTGATTTAATATTTCTTAGAGCAAAGCTCATGCGCACACGATCAAGACAAATCCGAAATAAACGAAGCATTGCAGATATGCTCCTCTATTCTGCCACGGATTATTGTAGTCGCTAGTATGGTGCGAAAGCCAAGCCGCACTTCGTAAAAGTTACACGCACTTCAATGCCAAAACTTCGAAGTTGTGGAAGTACTGAGCCCTCACACAGCAAAGTCCCCAGCCTTCATGTTATGCAGGAGGTGGCATTGGGTATGGCTGACTACTTATATTCCAGACAGAAAGACTAGAGACGAGGCTATGGCCCGGTCTGAGGGGACTGACTCACACGACAAAAGCAAGACGGACGCCAAGGCGATCGTCATTCCCTCCGATAGCCAAATAAACAAAGCCCTACACACACAGCACGTAAACAACCTGAGTCCTTGCAAGGCAGTCATTTCAGAAATTCGACAATCCTAACGTGAGCCGAAATTCGCCTTCACAGTAGTTGAATGGATGTCGTAGAGCGTCGGTCTTGTGGCTTGCACAATTCAAGCGACACCTCTTCACTTGTGTAAATCTATTCACTCGAAAAAACACTCCCTTGAAGGTTGTGTTACGATGACCATCACAATCGTGTCCACGGATGGTCACAGGAGCACACACGTTTTAAACTTCCCTACCCTTCCAATCATCAACTTCTCACGATTTGCTTTCCCCCGGTTTAACCTCAAAATTACGTCAAACTTAAGGTAAACATACACCTTCCTGGTTTCTTTATTTCCATGCGCCCGAACGTATGAAGTAGAAAAAGAGGAAATACATTGTAAAAACGTCTGTTGCCATCATTGTCATCAGGACACAAAAAGAGAAAAAGAGGAATGAGAAGGTAGACTAGAAATAAAGACAATTGCTGTACAAAAATTGATGAACTTTCCATTTCTAATGAATTCCATTAACATAATACTGGTAATTGTCGTATAGTCGAGTGCTTAAAGAGTTCAAGGATTGGCTAATCAAGTGGTCGACACTGAGAGCCACTTGGTCATCTGTTGAATTAAGCATGAAGCGTTGTTGAAGAGCCTCGAGGATTTTGGCACCCCCATTAAAAGCAAAACACGGCAAGTGTGGATAGCCGGTTTGAGCGATTTTAACCAGAAGCAGCAACTAGGAGAAGAAGGATATCCAAGTTGAGGAGGAATGTACACCACTCCGTCCAACATCGAAGATCTCAAGCATCCCACAAATTGAAACAGACAAACAACAACGATCTCCACTCCTCCACAATGATCGGTATGACTGACACGGCTATGATTTGATCATTGCCTCACTCCTCCTCCACTTTAAATCTCCATAAAATCTCTCACACCTCTCATCTCACCTCATCTCTGTGCTTCCGCGCTGTCAGGAGGCCTTGCACAATGAGCCACTTGAAGTAGTTGAACATGTCGCCGTCCACTCCCCCCATCACTTCCACCTGTTCAGCAGTCAGCTTGAAGGGGCTCGACTCGAAGCCCAAATTACGACCTGGTGATGCTGATAAAATGAAACCATAGTCAATGTGCACCACGTGGCCCTCTTTGTCGATCAGGATGTTGCCATTGTGTCTGCAGGACGAAGAAAAAATCACAAATATCAGCATCATCCAACCTGTCTGTTCCATCTTCTCAAATGCTAAGCAAACCTCTCATTTGTGACGAAATCTACCAATCTTCAACCACAAAAAAGTCCAAAGTCTAGCCACCTTCATAGCAAACAAGAAGAAGATTTCAGAGAAATATCAACCTCGATGGAATAATTAGTCATCTTCATGGTATCATAAAAAGAAAAAACAAAAATCAAAACTCACCGATCCTTCACTTGAAGGAGGTATCCTACAAGAGAGTAGGCAGCACAGCTTTCTACAAAATTTCGCTGAGCCGAAAGGAAGCCCTCTGAGTTGGGATGACCGTGCTCGCGAATGATGTAGTCCCGCAGCGAGAGGCGAGCATGGCGTCGAATTTGGTGTAAGGAGACAGTATCTTTGACCACCTCAATGAGACCACTGTCGGGTGAGGTGACGACAATTTTCAAGGGACGTAGCCAAAGGGCAATGCTGTGGTTTGCCCAAATTTCCTGCATACGAAGAGGCAAACATGAGTTTCCTTTATAGCCTATGGAACTGTGGAAAAGAGACACTGCTCTATTCACCCTAAAGAAAGTCCAGCACAAACCCTTCAATCAGTCATCAAATACTACCCAATCATCTAGCAACTCGCCTTCAAGTAGCTCAGCAATTGATAAGCCAGTTGCTCCTGTCTCAAATCGTCTCCAACCTTAACAATCACTGCCGCCAATTGCCAGCCTGGAAGGTGACCCCACGGTGAAGCCTCCTTAATGCGCTGCGCTTTTAATTCCCAGGACTCCTTCAACACTGTAGCACTGGGATCCTCCGGATCCGACTATCGCCAAAGAGGAGGCAGATTATTCGACGTGACCAAACATTTAATGAGGGTAAGAGAAACGCACCCCAAAAGTCCTTTGAAGATGACATGCGGTGTTCTGGACTAACTGCTCGCGAACAGCTTTAGCAGTCACATAATTCACGGTTTTCTCATTCTCACCCTCCTTTTGATTCGTGTCTCTAGACGTGGACGTAGAGTTGGTTGAATCCTCATTTGAGCCACCTTCAGTGGCGATAGTAGAAGCTGCAGGTGTGGAAGAATCGCAAACCCCTAGACTTTCACCGGAATCCGTAGAAAAAAGACTAATTACGTCGGGTGCCGCAAGTGTTCCGACACCTGTGAAGCCCTTGAAATGAAAAGAGACCTAATTTTAGACACCACCTCAATAGGAGGATGTGAAAGAGTTGAACTCGTAAATCCAACTTCAAAAGTTCAACCGTACACGACCACTTGTGGGTCTGAATCATCGGTTGGGCGGCTCAAGCATCTCCATTGCAACTGGAAATCAACTACATGCTCTCATT